TTTTTTTTTTTTCTTTGCAAAAGGACAATCTATACTACCACTAAAATTTACCTTCCTCATAAAGATACCATTTGATTTTCGAAAACATAACACATGGTTAGTTTTCTACTTAATGGCTGGAGGAAGTATATAAGATAAAAAAATAGAAAAAAATAAGAAGGTGGCTCCCGTTGTGGAGGACCACGAAGTGCTGCGGGCAGCACGGGTGCTGGGCATTGGGAAGTCAGTGCACCAGGAAGAAAAAGCTCATCATGCAGATGGCCACACTGGTGAGGAGCTTCAGGGGGGAGTGTGCGTTCCCGAGACTGTGAGAGGCGGTGACCTCACTGTCCTTCTGGTTCACATGTTGCTTGCTCCCAGGAGCTTCGTCCACATCCAGATCATAAGCCAGTTCTGCCAAAAGAAGAGAAGGATTTGAAATGCGGGATAAAGCACAGCGTCAGATGTGCACTATTCACAGCAGAAGCACTTGTCTGGCCTGTTGGGAAGTCCCAGCTTTGATTTTTTCCTTTCTTGAGAGGAAAGGGTGCCAAGAGACGGGAAGGAGAAGGAGAGGATAAGAGGGCTGGACGTGCTCCTTCCAGAGACCACAGCAGGAGAAGCGAGCAGGCCTGTGCTCTCCTTTGCTCTAGGCCCACCTCAGGGTGCACATAAGCAACCTCTCCTTTCAGGTCAGGCTGTGCTCGGAGCGAAGGTCATTTTTGCCAGATCCTTCTGGTATCAAAATGTTATGCATGGGTGACCATGCATGTGTCCTTGGGTGGTAGCTGAGGAGGGAGTGTTGTGGGCTCCCTGAGCCTGATCTCGGTACCCCATATAGAGTTCCTTATCCTGAGAGCTTTGCTTTAATTAGAGTTGAAGACAGAGTCATTTGTTGTTGAAAATTGTTTATTTTTCCCAAGTAGTTCTTTTATCTATTAGGTCTTTCTGTCGCCTCTAGCCCACCTCCCCCTAAGCCAAATTGAGCTATTGCACAGGATTTAAACTAGTACCAAGCAAATCTGGCAAGAAAAGAGGCAAGTGGGTAAGGGTCTTTCATTTTTTCATTACCTTTCATTTATACGTTCACAATTCTGAAAAGAAAGTGGGTATCTTCAGCTTGGTTTAATGCAAACGCCCCCCAAAAGGCAAATCTAAAGATAATGGTTTATTAGGAAATTCAAGATCATTGGCCCTGGCACAGGGCTCAGTTGCTCTCAGCTTTGCTTTTCCAGACTTAGCCATCAATCTATTCCCTTGGCTTTCTGTAGATGCTGTTGTCAATGTTTCTATTTCAATATCTTGTGAAGGTGATGTGATATGAGCAACCTTGCCAGCCAGCCAACTGTCCTGTGGCCGAGAGAGCTGGAAAGATCCTTTGGGGACACTGAGATGCACAGCAGCGGGCCCAGAGGAAATGACTGGGATTCTACAGAGGGAAGGAAGGAAGGGGAAGGAAGAGCTCCTCTTACAGGGCATGGAACATTTGTAAGTCACAGGAAGCAAGTGTGGGGACTCAGCTGGTTCAGGATGTGCGCAGAACAGGGTCAGGACCAGGCTTGCTATGAGACAGGCACTGGCTAGGTCAGGAAGCAAAGTCAAGGTGACGAAAGCCAGGGGTTCAAACTTCACAGATTGCAGCCCCACTTTCTGAAAAGGCTGCTGGAATCTATAAGCCACCAGCAATGGCGAGGGAACTGATTTTACTGTGCGTCCACTGGCAGCTAAAAAAAAAAAGGGATATTTTAGCTCATACCTCAAGGCTCCTTTAATTTGTATGTAGCTGATTACTAGCACAGATCAACTTTGTCTGTTTTAGTTTACTAATTTTATTTGTCAATTCATAACAGTTCATATCCTCTTCCTTGTATGAATTTGAAGAATACATATTAAAGTGAATCATCTGCATATAATGTATGCAAATATTTTTCTATTTTGTAGTTAGTTATAATTCTTTTTTGTTGGTGTGCAAAGAAGTGATGTCTTAATTTTTAATACATATATATGGATCTGATTACACTTCATGCCTCTCAAACCAGAAACATTTTTCTTCCTGAGTACTTTTTTTTTTTCCCAGTACCAGGAATCAAACTCACAACCTCGCACTTGCTAGGCAGGCTCTGTGCCGCTGAGCTAAATCCCCAGCCCCTTCCTGAGTACTGATAATAATTCAAATCAAGTTTTCCAGCAATGTTCTTAACAAGGGAAAAGCAAGTTAGCCACTGTAATGTAGGTCCCCCTCAAGTAAATACATATAAACACGCAAATTAGAAAGAGGAATAGAACAAAGAGCAATGCTCTACTTGGAAATCAGACCTCTTTCTCTGAAAGGTGAAATATGCAGGGCCCACAAGAAGGCTGAGGTCAGCTGTCAGTCGGCAAGGATAGCACAGGCTTAGGTGCGATCAGATTTCACTAAAATGAAGAGCACATATGGCTGGATCTGTTGAAAGCCAGCCCCAAGTCTCACAGCAGCTTCTCCACTTAAGTGAAGAGGAGTATTTTTAGGGCTGACCTGAATGAAAGCACTCTCAGTGTGGCCTCTAGATACCTTTTCTGGATGATGTTCCTTGCCCAAGATCAAGATGAAACAACATCGATTAATGATAACCACCCAGCTACTCCTCTATTTATTTTGCTCTTCAAATAATCCGCTAATACTCAACACTTTTGTTCACTATAGCAGTTATGATAAACCCAGTTGCTCTGTTAAATCCAGTCATTTTTTGTTATTTCTATTCAGTCCACTCATTTTTTGTTATTACTATCTCTTGGACCCTATGTTTAGAAATCAAAGTAATGACTTCTAATTATTGTTCCGCATTGTATCCCAGGTATAATTATATATATATATATGTATATATATATACATATATATACATATATATATATGGTCTCATGTAACTTAATCTCTCTACCACATTTTAGAGTAGGAATTATAATTCCCATTTTACTGATGAAGAAGTTCCAGCTCAGATTAATTATTTGGCCCATATTTACATAGCTGGTATGTGACACAGGTGCTACCATAGTGGAATCCAGGTATGACTCTACACTTGATCTTAGCCCAAGGCCAAAATGTCAGGTGAAGCTATACTGCCTTTTGAAAAATTCTATGTAGCAAATTGACTACAGTGACTAAGTAATAATAGGTTCTTATTTAAAACAAGATAATTCAAGTAGTGAAATACATACTTCCAAAGAAAACTTCCATAAAATGTAAGAAAAGCCAGTGTTTCCAACATAAATTTGACCTTAATTAATTAAAAGTTGATTAAGTAGCCTTGTTAAACTTTGTGAAATAGTGAAAAGAGCCCCGGCACTGGATCTCTGAAAGGGAATTATCATATCAATCCTATTTCCCTGATGAAATCAACAATAATGGCCAAGGCCATTAGACACTCTAGGTCAAAAATTCCATTGCAGAATTCCAGAGATCAGAGACACCAATGGGGAATCAAGAAGACTTTATGGGGTGTACACCTGGCTCAGTGGGACTCCTGTCCAAAATGGCTGAGCATTGGAGAAAGGAAAGGCTCCAGTTTTTATATATTTGGTCAAGGGGGTTGGTGTTTGGCACAAAACTTGTGGGCGGGCAGAAGAACAAAGGTAGTTTGTCAAGCTGTGACAGGTTTGTACCTTGGTGGCCCAACAGGGTGTTATGGGAACAGGGGGTTATAAAATTGTACTTACTGGGACAAAAGTCACTGCTTTTATGTGCATTAGAACAAAGAATAACAGCTGTAAGGAGGGGGAAGTTTGAAAAACTTGACTTTTTTTTTCTTTTTCTTCTTAAGTCCTGCTTTTGTTCAGCCAAGTCTTCCACAACCAAAGGGCACCCAACAGTATGCACAATGCTTCTTTCCTGCACTCCCTAAACTGTGGCTATAGCTTGCCTGAGGTTCTCAATTCAGCAGCAGCAAAAGTTTATCATGCCCACAGTCAGGCTCCTGTGGCAGAAATTGATGGGAATCTCAGCAAAGCCATTCTCTGTGCTTGGGCCACCAGCATGAGGCTTAGAGATGAAGGGGACAGCTTAGTATAACAAGGAAGCAGTAAGGTGGGTAGAGGAAATAGGATTTTGGTCAAAGATAAATATTAACTCTGTCCATTCATAAACAGGGGAAATATCCAATTTAATTCAACAGTGCTAGCCTATGATGTTCCGAAAACTTAACTAGAAGATTAGAAGAAGATTTAGGTGTCTGCCTTCAGGAATCCCACACTCTGGTAAAGGCAATAGACCAACAGACAAACCTACTAGATACTTGGCCAAAAGTTGAAAGGGCTCAAATAGGGCACAAGCAAAACACCATAGGAAAAGAAGAAAGAGAGCTAAACATAGTAGGATTTGAAGGTTTCTTGGAACAATGTGGATAAACTACACCACGGAGGCTGAATAGCACTATGGCAGTGATGAGTGACATGGGTACTCAGGCAGGGGGGTCAGTTTGAGCAATGTCTCCGTGACTGGAGAATGTAGGTAGGGCTATTCAGTAGGACAAGCAGCCTCCCTGGTGTGAGAGGCCACACAGTGAACTCTGTGTGTGTGTGTGTGTGTGTGTGTGTGTGTGTGTGTGTAAGAGCTGGTGACTGGGATGAAAGGTAAGGCAGGAAGGACCAATAAAGGCCAAATTGAGGTGGACCATAAAGGCTATTTTAACTATTCTGTGAGCAACAAGGAGCCATTGAATTTTTTTTTTTTTTTTTTAAATTTTGAGACAAGATCTTGCTAAGTTGTTTCACTGTCCAGGTTGGGCTCAAACCCAGGATCCTCCTGCCTTAGCCTCTCACAGTGCTTGGATTATAGGCGTGCCCCACCATACCCAGCTCTTGATTTGTGTTTTTAGAAAGATCACTGGAATCTGTGGAAGACAGCCCTAAGTAGGAGACACTCATCAGACATTGTGTCTTAGAAAAAATAAGAAGCCTATGGAAACAGTATCTGGGGATCTTCCAGGAGTACACATGAAAAGAAATCAGTAGTGCATGGTGGTGCACACCTGTGATCCAAGTACTCTGGGAGGCTGCACCAGCAGATCATAAGTTCAAGTCCTGCCAGAGCAACTCAGTGAGGTTTCTTAAAGTGAAAAATGGGCTGAGTATGTAGCTCAGTGCAAAGGCCCTGGGTTCAGTCTCCTGAACCCTCAGTTCAGGAGAAGGCCCTCAGTTCAATCTCTAATCCCAACAACAAAAAAGCAGAATTATATACTAGATTAAAACATTTTTCAGTTTGCTATGAATCAGATGTATTATGGGAAATTATGGGAATTGCCACAGCCCCTTTCTTTAAGTCATTTATATTTTTATATTGATGAATGATTTTCCAGAATATATATTTTGGTGTGTTTGGGCCAGGAAGGACATTTTCAGGCGAGCCCCAAAGATACTCTTCCTATTCGTAATCAGTTTAA